GGTGTATGATGAGTGGTGTATGATGAGTGGTGTATGATGAGTGGTGTTTGATGAGTGGTGTATGATGAGTGGTGGTTGAACAGCTGTTGAATGTCCGTAACACGGAAGTTTTGCACACTAAACTTCCTTTGATTAGTAAATTTCAATCTTTGGTTTGTTCAATCGTGTTGGCGTTCACCTTGACTTGTTACATGAAAGTTGCGGCCTTATTTAGAAGAGCAAAGCCATGAGAAAGTTTGGGCTGAATCACTTGCACTGTTCCGAGTTTGGTCATGTTTGGTCAAGCGCCGTGCCTGGTAACTGGAAGGAATCGTGCACAGGAAGACCGAAGAGTTGCGGACCACCCTCCGAGCAGCAGTGTCCTGTGCCACTCGAAATGCCTGTTGAGCCTTTGAGGCACACCTTTGAAGGTGTTCCACAAAGACTTGCACACGCCAAGACTTGCGATTCTGGAAGGACAAGGGAAAGCACAATGGCATTCGCTTCTGAGGCAAGCGAAACGGCCTGCTTCGGACGACTGCCCAAGCCATCTTCTGCTTCGTCGAGTTGAGGCGGTCGAAGTAGAACTTCACAGGATCATACTTCTCCAAAGGCATCGAGTCTCGCCTGCGGCGCAAGTTCTCCTGTTCAAGTTCCAGTCTGTATCGTCTGACTGATGGGAGCCCTTCGATGTACATCTGACTGAAGCGTGAACGTGTATGAGGCTTCCAAAGTCGCTGCTGTCGGGCAAACTGGAAGTCTTCAGCTGCTCTCAAAGCCTTCTTCAAAAGGTTGTGCGCCCGCTTCATGCTGACCACCAAAGCATCTCTCCGGCACAAATTGTCCAGGGTATAGTTTCCGGCAGTCTTGCCAACACGGGTGGGATTGCCCAAAACCAGGATCCGCAGTCCATCTGCATTCTCATGTGTGATTGACAGCTTCTCTGCCACCGCATCAATAGCTTGATTTGTCACGCAGGTGACCACTGAAGCTGTTCTAGGTGGCATTCGTGCACTCAACAAATGAAAGATCGTTGTGCTCTTCCCCGTCCCAGGTGGCCCGTGGATGATTTCCACTCGAAGACCCAAGGACTTCACGGCACGTTCCTGGTCCTCGTTGATGGGCATCAGGTGCATCTGAATAGATCTGCACATAGCATAGCTTCCAGGATCCCGACGGGTAGGGTCAAGCACCATCCGTTCGAGCATCATGTCTCTGGGTGAGCTAAGTTGAAGTTCCGAAGCGCATCGGTACCTGATCAAGTAATCTCCAGCGAAGAGGCGTACTTTCAGGCGAGTCGTTGGGTGCTCACTTCGAAAGTCTGCCAAGGCTGTCTCTAGTCTACGACCTCCAAGTGCGAATCCCTTCAGGTTGGCTTCATGCCCTGCGACACCATTTCGAGTGACTTCCTGGATGTTGCACTCTGTGACCCAAAAAAGGGTCCGGTTGAGCTCCACAACATTGTCTTTGAGTTGCAAGTCCGAGGGCTCGGGAGTTGGCCTCGAGTTCGCGTTTCCGGCATTCTCGCACCGAGAAGCCACGAGCCAATCGAAGGTTTGCCGACAATTCAGCGTCATGCCTCCACCGCCGTGAAAGGCACAAACTGCCTCGGCCATGACGTTGGCTTGCATCGTGCTGTAGTAGTCGGAACGATTGCGATAGGTGTCCTCCACCGGAAGGAAGGGGTAGTCGTTCCTGTTCCCTGCAAATGCTTCGAGGAGCTTCCGGCGAGGACCTCACTCAACACACAAAAAACATGCAGGTCCAGCCATGAAGCAAATGAACTGAACTGCAAATGAACTTCAGCACATGATTCTTTCCACCCACCCAGGTTCTAAATTCAGCTAACCACCAGTCAGCGAAGACTTCGGCCCAAGCAACCTCCACGCTCCGAATCATCGAAGTCCAAATGAGTGAAATGAAGTCGTGGTCGCGGCCGAAACATGGCGACCTGCGGACTTCGATCGCGAGAACGACGGCCACTGAGCGACAGAACGACAGGAGAAAGTAAAGAAGACTTCGTGTCCTTTTTTGATCGGTTTACCAGTTGTGTGCTTGGGTTTTTTTTGATCGTCTCTGTGATGGACATTCTTCCCCGAATTAATTGGAGGTGTAGAATCACCCAAATGCAATGCAGGCAAAACGGCACGAGCAAAACAAGCAATTGAAATCTGCCTTGATCCGCAAACTTCAAAATCAAAGCACGCAAACTGGCTGGATCTGGATGGCTGAGGAGACAACGCCACTAGGCGCAAAGCGTCACAACCAATGCTTTGACAAAGCGTCTAGAGTGGACGACTCAATCTGAAATGCACTGAACGACAATTAAAGAGTGAGTAGTGTTTGAGGTTGTTTGCACATGTAATGAGCCTCTACTGCTGAAGTACAAAATCGATTAACGCTACAACACCCTTCCCATCAACTCCTCGACATGATTACTCTTGTCAAACTTTTCATTTCTCTTAGATCCGAACAACACTTGCAGCTCCATCGCAATGGCACGTTCTGGAGAAGATCGTCCGTGCGAAAAAATAAAAGAGAAGAGGCACATATGGTCAGTCATAGATATCTGCGAATTGCGAACAGGACCAAAAACCGGTTTGTTGTCCATGATAACAACTGAAATACACCATCATAGTGTGTGAATCTTAAGCTGAGAACGACAGCATCCTCCGGTCAAGACTTACTCCAACATCTTCAAAGCAAGTGGCCCAAATACGAGAATTGGGCACTATAGTGGCACCACTAGTGGCCAGGTACAAGGGGGTCTTCTCCAGGGCCTGGAGTTGGATCAACGGATCAGTGCAACATCCGTCGTTGGACAATCCGTCCACGTCTCTTCATGTCTCTTCCTCTTTTCAGGTCTCTTCGAGCACAAATTGATTGGCCTTCACGAGCCTGTGGACCGCTGAACAGTGTTGGTTGCTTCATACTGCCTCACACGTGGTCAATCCTAAATGCGAAACCCAACAAGTTAACTGTGGTCAGTTGGACTTGGCGCCTTTCTCAGTCCAAGCGTATGTCAGGATTTTATGCATCATATGGTCAACCCTTGGTTCTGCTTACATACTTCGCCCTGAAAAAATCAACAAACCTCTGGAACACATTCATTCAACACATATTGAAGGAATTAATTCGGAAGCTTCATCAAGTCAACATTTTACGGAAGCATCCAAAATCTAAAGCGAATCAGCTTTTCTTGGATTCTACTTTTCACAGCAAGCAACAAAAATGTCCAACCACTGTAGCTCTAGCTGTTTCTGTTGGTTGTGTTGGACATTTTGGCTCTTGAATCAACCTGTAACCGTGTGCTCTCGGTCGTCCCGTCGCCTCTCCAAGGGCACGCTGGCAACGTAGTGCTCCGAATCAACTCTCGCCCAGTTTGGAACCCAAAACGCTCTCGTCGTCAGGTTGTGAGACTTGATTGGCCCAAACGAGTCGTTGATTCGGAACGAGGTTGGCCAATCAACTCTCACTGGAATTCAGGTGGGGAATTGGATACCAGGTGTTAGATGAAACAGACTAAGGAACAGGTGACAGGACATCGCAGTCGCCGAAAAGGGGTATATGTTGTGAGATTCTGAGCACCCTCCAGCAGTTTGAGCTTATTGCGCAAAGTTGTTCCGCAACAAAAACGAAGAAAGAATGGGGTGTAGAGTGTAGATAAGACGAATAACCTGTTCGCATTCGATGGTCGAACCTAGGTTGAAACCACAGTTGTAGCTAATTCCGCACACTGCTTTACCACCAGCCACAGGCCACAGGCAAATCAATCCGCAGCTCACCTCATGTCGTGGACGGCGCTGTGTCTGGTTGGAGCGGCTGAAGCGGTCGGTCGCCTGACAAGAAGGGCGCCATGAGGGCGAATTGAAGGGATTGCATCTGATTTTCTGATGTCTTCGACTTGTTTTGATTCTTTCCAAGACATGTGGTTTTGTGGAGTCTACTGAAATTATGCCATGCAGCAGAACTGCATAGCACATGCTTTTTGGGAAGGGTTGATCTCATTTTGAGTGCGCGCACTTCCATGTACGGATAGGTCAGAAATAGCGCATCAAGATGCATCAAGTCCGAAAGAAGGAATTGAAGCCTCACAAAAGGAAAACACAATATAAACACTATTCCTTCTGGCAAAACCAGTCAACCAATCGGCTTTTTGAACCGTTTCGAGCATTGGACAATTTGTCACCGACAGGAGGCTCCAACGTGCAGCCTGCGGAGCGGAACTGCAGGCATTCAGCCCAGCTTGGCCCAGCTCCCACAGCGCCAGATGTATGCCAGAACCTCAAGCTTTGGCTGCAGGTGTCCTTTCACACTGCACTGGCAAAAGCATAGCACACGCTGCAACTCAACACACAGCACTGGCAATCTTTCCCAGATTCTGCAAACTCAAACAGATTTGCCATGCTTTGCATAGGTTCTCAGTTTGCTATGCACAGGATGACCTGAACGAATCTGCGAACGTTCAGCCATCAGCCCACGCGAAGTCGCAATTCCCGACTGCTTGCAGTCTGGAGGCCGGTGGTCCCGGAACTCTGAAGAAATTGAGAAACCTCCAAATGGCCATGCAAGGCCGCCAGTTGCGCAGGAGTATCTCCACTGCTGTTGGCTTTCTCCATGTCACATCCTGACCTCTCAAGAAAACGCAAGACCTCAAGATGGCCATTCAGGGCCGCAAGGTGAGCAGGAGTCCTTCCAAAGCTGTCTGCTTGTTCCAAGTCACACTTTGAGCTCTGCAGCAACTGCAAGACATCCGACTGGCCATTGGAGGCTGCACACTGAACAGGAGTCCTTCCAAGGTAGTCTGCTTTTTCCAAGTCACAGTTTGAGCTCTGCAGCAACTGTAAGGCATCCAACTGGCCATTGGAGGCCGCAAGGTGAGCAGGAGTCCGTCCAGCGTGGTTTGCTTTCTCAAGGTCGCAGCCTGAGCTCTGCAGAAACTGCAAGACCTCCAAATGGCCATTCCCGGCCGCAGCATGTGCCGGAGTATTTCCGAGATCGTTGACTTTCTGGAGGTTGTAGCCTGAACTCTGCAGAAACTTCACGATCTCCAAATAGCCATTCCTGGCAGCAAGGAATGCCGGAGTCCTTTCACGTCTGTCTGCTTTCTGAAGGTTGCAGCGTGCACTCTCAAGAAACTGCACGACGTCCAAACGGCCATTCTGGGCGGCAAACATTGCAGGAGTCATTCCATCATTGTCTGCTTTCTCCAAGTCGCATCCTGATCTCTCCAGAAACCGCAAGACTTCCAAATGGCCATTGGAGGCTGCAAGGTGAGCAGGAGTCACTCTATATTCTCCTGCAGTCTCAAGATCGTTGCTTCCAAGTTCTTGCAAGGCCTCCATGACCGGCACGTGGCCTCCCCTGGCTGCGCAGTGCATTGCAGTTAGGCCGCGCTGCCAGAAGGCACCAGGAGACACCCCGAAGTCCACAAGCGACTGGACCACAGAGACATGACCCGCTTCTGCAGCCTGACGGAGCGCCGCCACACGCGCTTCTTCGTGTGAGTCATCAAGGAAGCGACGGATTTGTGAATCCAAGCCAAGCCTGGCAGCCAACTCCAAGCGACCACCATTGCAGCCGCTGATGATGGGAAATAGAGGAAGAGCACACCATGACAGCATCACGTCATTCATGATCGTCAGAAGGAAGGTTATTGTGAAGGTCAACAATGTCACTAAACAAATAATTTCCACAGCGGGCTTGTGTGACAAGACACACTCACCTCCAGATTCCGCAGAAAAGACCAGAGCAAAGAGCCACAACGTGCAAAGCGCACTGAAGGTTCGTAGTGCGAGCAAAGATCTGCCAAAACGTCGCTGAGGTATCAAATCTCTGTCATAGCAACACCAGAAAGTGCTCAGAAAAGAGGTGATAATGCCAAGGAAGTTCTGCTTCTTAAAGAGTTCCTTCCACTTCAATTGCAATCCACAATTATTTGACTTGAAGAGCAAAGCGATTATAAGAAATTCCGTTGCCACGATAAGAGGCAAGTATGGCTGTTGCAGGCCCTGACGCTTTGCGTCGGCCGGAGGCATATGCCCAGCAGGGCCCAAAACCCGATGCGCGAGAATACGTCGCACCAACGGAAGAACAATAGAGCGATGCTGGGCAGAATGCTCGGCTCCATTTGCCTGTCTTCAGGTTTGCAAAGCTCGTAGGCTTTGTTGACACCATCAGCCACAGTGAAAATCGAGAGACATATAGACCCACACAGGATCCACGGATTTCCGTTCGGACGGCTCACCAACAGGGCATAGATCTGAAGGAGACTCGAAGGAGCCCCTTCGCAAAGGGCTGCCAGCACCTTCTCTTCTCGCAGTTCTTGCGTCATGCCACGCTTGAGGGCCTTGAAGGCTTCCAAAAGAGGTTGGACTTGCAGCACGTACAAAACAAAGCTCGTCAAGCCGGGCCGTCGCTCACCTCGGGAATTCAAGCGTCGAAAAAACAAGTCGCTGTTGGTCCTTGCATCACAACGTTCCCAGCTTAGGTATCTGTGAACAAAGCTCAAGCACCCACTTCCGATCCAGATTGCTGCTAAAAGAAAGCTGAACATGTACATTCGGTCGGTGTAGTAGGTATAGGCCACATACAGGTCAGAGAACATGTCAGACAGCCAAAAGAAGGCCATCATTGCTACTTCTGCTCGAGCATATAGGCTGGGTGTGTCGTCCGTTCGCTCTGGCTGTTCTTCACCTCCAGCTTCATCGCCTTCTTCGCTTCCACTTTCAGACTGTTCAAGTTGCATGTAGGGATTGCTCTCACCACTCATCCGGTATTTTATGAGCACCAACAAAACTGCCACCAAGGCACCATCTGGCACCACCACCACCAACACCGGCCAATGTGCACGGAGAGAATCAACCAACAGCCACAGCATCCACTTGGTGGTGGCTTCTGCCTCCTGAATCACGCAGGGCCCTGGAATCAGCTCCTGCAAACCGTGTGCAATGGACTTGTCTTCGAAGCTGTTGAGTCTTCGAGCCCCTCCGAAGTGCTGTGGCAACTGCACGATGTCTACAGCGTAAAGCGCCAGGATGGGGATCGCAATCGCAGCAAGGAGCTTTGTCATCGGAGATCTCATGCTTTTATATTTGTTATTTGTGCAATTCTGCTTTCCGCGAGTGGGTTGCTTGGATCTTAGCTGACTCTGACTTGCGGGAGATATCATTTTGACTTTCTGCTCTACGCATGTGAGTTGCCTGCTAGACTCTAGATAATTCTAGATTGCTGTTAAATCTAACTCTATCTTGGAAGTGAGGACTGCCTGAATTTGCAATGGCTTGGGATTCTTCACTTGGAATGCCAGCAACACTTCTGATCAGCCACCGCACAGTGCAACAAAGAATGTGACAAACACACGTCACGTCTGGCCGGCGCTGCAACTTGGAAGTCGCTCCACAAACAAGTTCAAGTCACGGCCCTGATGTCACATGAACTACTTCTGTCTCAGATTCCCTGGCCTTGACTCCATCTTCTCTGCCTGCACGGCCCTGCACGGCCTGGGCGGCTTGCATTCTGATCCGCACAAGACAGCAAGCTGCTCGTCCACTCGAAAAGCGGGGGAGAGTGTTGGATCGTCCTCATCCGGAGACAGTTGCTTGTGGTGTTTTTTTGAATCGGGATCTTATGAGATTGGCCTGTTTGCTTGCACTTTATTAGTATCCACTGTATATTCCCATAAAGGTGAACAAGACACACATCACACCACACCAGTTCAGCTTCTCTCAGATGGCACTGTACACATCGCACACATTCTCCCATGTCTTCATCGATGCTTCTGCTATCCTTCAAAAATGGGATGGTCATGGCCTGAAATTGGCCAGGCGATTGCAGCAATTCAGCGTGTCGGAAGAGCGGAACCTTTGTGTTTTATGTTGTCTTTTTCGTCATCTTCGTTTTGAGGTCCACTCCAGTCTTTTTCCAACCATATGTCTCACACCAATGTATTTTGGCCAACGCCGGTCTTGAGCTCTGTGCCGTTGGGCTTTTGGCATGGCACACTCTGCGGTTCTGCCCGAAAAGATCCAAAGCTGAGGAGATCCAAAGCTGAGGAGAAGACAGGCAGAAACTACTTCGACTGTCTGGTGTTGCACAGATTCTAGAATGGTATGGCAGGTTCCTCAAACATTGCCTTTACATTGGCATGCAATCTGAGTAAGCCAAATATGTCTCCAGAAAATCTGAACTGCTCCGTCCAGCGAGGAAACTCAACAATCTTTCTTTCGGATCTCTATCCTTCCCAAGCTTCAAACTACGTATCCTTGCCGCTCGGCCGCCGCGCGGGCTCTCAACTATGAACCCACTTCGCGCAGCCCTTTTTCCGACGTCGGCTGGGCGCTGGGGCTGCTGCCCGAAATAGCGGGCGCCCTTCAATTCGCTGGGAGCCTCAGTGGAGGAGCGAGCCAGAAACGGGTGGCCGGATGAATTTGAAGTCCATGTAGATCAGAAGCGATATTCATCAATCAGCATGACTTACATGTTCAAACAGGCCATCAGATGGTTTTCCGATCGTTTTCCCTTGGATGTCTGTTTTTACAAAGCGTTTTTCTCTATCTTAGAGCACCTGGGATCCTTTTTGGATCCAATCTGCTTCTCCGTCCCAGCGGCATAGCCGAAGACGATGGCCATGTTGGGCTCCTGCGAGCCGACCACGGCGTGCCACCAACCCGCCGGCAGGTACAAGGCTTCGCCTCGTTCGGCGCGGAAGAACGGAAGTGGACACCAGCGGATCCTCTCGTTAAAGGAACCTCGTCTTCCGGTCCATTTTCCATGACAAGTCGGAAGGTCATGGCTTTTCAGATGGAAAGAACCTTTGAGGGTTTGTGAAAAACAGTGTCCTATATAGTAACCATCTGGGGACTGAAACAATTGCCAGGCAGAAGACCAACCACGACTATAGTCAGTCGGTTTGGACCTAAACATCGACAGAACACCCGTCGTTGATTGCGACAGCAGAACCACCAGCATACCCAAAGAAGGCAGGATACCAAAACGCCTTAGTGGGAAGAACATGGAGAGCTACTATAGCCACTAGAGCCAAGCTAGTCCGCTAGTTTGGATTGGAATCTGACTGATTCTTTCCCCTTCTACCACTTCTCCTGCCTCCGGAGAGGTGTATGTCCAGCGGATCTGGCGTCCCCGAAGGAAGGTTGAACGCGTCCACAGGCGAATAGACCTGAGAATATCCACAAAGCAGCGGTTTCATTTGTTTGGAGCAACAGCTTTGAGAACTTGAAGCAATTGAAAACGGAAGAACATGGAAGAACAACAATAATTACGAGCAGTGTGTTAAAGCAGTGCTCAATTGGAAGAGTGCACACCACAAGAATGAAAACAACACAAGGAACCCATTGGAAGGGCACTTTTTGTCAAGATGCTGCCGGAACAACACCGCTCATCCAGCAGGATGCTGCGGCATACCTGTGACAAGGGAGCATGGAATTAAATCAACGACAACGTGTGTAGCTTTTGCGCGTCTGATCTTTGTTTGGGAAGCTTTCCTCGATGTCCTTCAACTGTTTCCTATTTCCTTCCAACATGCTTGGAGGCACAGCCTAGTGGCCTAGTGGTACTCGGGGCCTCTACGAAGCATCTTATAGACATCACAAAAACAAAGTCCACGGTTTGGACACTCCGACCTCCAAGGTGGATCACATAAGCCTTCGATGTCTATAGTCTATAACCTTCTATGTTCAAGCTTATCTTCAGTTCGAGTCCTTCCGGAGTGCCAACATGATTGAAAAAAAGGTTAAACCGAGCTAAATCAGAACCAATCAGAACCCTTCATCGATCTAAGCCATGCCTTCCCCATTCCGCTCCTCCAAACTCACGGATTCTCACTGCCAAACCGCCGTTCCCACGGGGGGTGTTGACTGCTGGGCATCCCAACCAACCGCCCAAGGGCTTCAAGAAGCCGGAGCTGCTGGGCGGGAAGAGCCGAATCAGCTTGCGGCCCTGGAGCCGGAGATACTGGATTTCCATTGAAGATCATTGAAGGGCGCAGCGGAATAGCTGGAGCTCAACTGGAAGTCTAAAGCTGTTTGTCAGATGTTGGGAGATGTTGAGACGTCGCTGGTCTTGGAAGACTCTTTTGGGTGACGTTGTATGATATGACTGCCCATCAGCAGGGACATAGTTTTTTAATGCTTTTGATGATCTCTGGACGTGTCGCTATCACTCTTTTTCGCTGTGATGCCTCCAGGACAAGTGTGATGTTCTCCGTTGGGTCCTGGCCAGCGCGAGTGAAGCAGCGCAAAGCAGTATACAACGGAACGGAATGGAACGTTGGTACAACTCTGAAGGACATTCAGAGTATACATTCAGGAAACCAATCTGCATGGTAGAACAATTTTGAAGTCACGAGCAAATCTAGCAAAAGCCCCAAGCCACCACAAAGCCATGTCAGTAGCGCGCAGTGGAGCGGGGTGCGCTGCTCACCTGCGCCTTAGACAACTCTTCCGCTGTCCTATACTGCCTCACTCTCATTCCTTCATGCCTTTCCTCTATTTTCCGGACCATTTCTAATTCATCTCCGAAATCTGCCAAGGTCCTTTCAACCTTCATCTCTTCTTGACGTTTCGTTGATTCCGAACACTTGCCATTCTCCCCAAGCAGAGACACCCCGAACACAGGATTCAGCTCCAGTGGCCCAAGTACATCACCGGAGCATTGGGCACCGGTGGCCCCATGGCCAGGTGCAACGTCTCCTCTAAAGCCTAGAGCTGATTGGGATGAAAAGGGCCGTTGCAGGATGAACCGATCGAAATCGGCTGATTTGGTTGGGCGAAATTGGACAAAACCGGTGGACAGATCGAGGATTTATTGGTGATTATATTGAGTGGCCTTCACGAAGTTGTAGACCGGGAGAAGGGTTGTTGAAAGGAAACACAAAAGGCTGCCTCATAATTAAGCATGGTTAATCTTGAGAGGAAAAGACCAGTCAAATCGAAGATCAGTTGGATTTTGGCACCCGATGCAATATGATACATTTGGCAGGCTCCTTCTGTCCGGTCTTGCCCAGTTCAACGCGCAAAGCAAGTCGATTCCGTTCGTTGAAAGCGCAACTGACGAACCCGCCACAACCAGTCGGCCTCACGCAAAGGCCGGAGCCGCTCGGCGAACTCGGGCAAATCCCTGCGTTGCACAGAGGATGCTTCTGCGTTTCTTCTTATTGGAAACGTCACAGAGTATGAAACAACAGGAAATCATTTTATAAAGCCAATATTATAAGGTGTTTTTGTTCTTGAATTCGGTTCTTGATCAGAACACACAGAAACAATGTAGCTCTAGAGCGGTGGCGGGATATGGCAGTTGGTGGTAGCGTTGTTTGATTTCACAACAAAAAAACATCACCAGTCTTGACAGCTCGCGACAGTCTTGAAATCCCACGCCTCTGAAATTGTCGCAGGTCTTATGTGGAGATTTTGTGACGCTGTGCTCTCCGTCGTCGCGCCTCTCCAAGGGCACGCTGGCAGCGTAGTGCTTCGGAGCGGACTCTGTGGCCAATTCGTCCATGACGTCTCTCAAGGCCTCAGGTGGAAACCCCTTAAGCCCCGCATCGAAGGCAGAACACCTGAGGAAGAGAAAAGACATGGTGGCATAGAAATAAGCAGCCTGTTTGAAGAAGGGCAAGTAATTTGGCAGCATCTACTTTGGTGTAGTGTTCAGTCATTTGAAGTCCCGTGTGCCGCTCTCACAGCCCAAACTTTTCACCACAGCGGCTGAAATGTGCGGGTAAAATCTTGTGCATTTGCTGGCCACCCAACACAGCACCCCTTCGTCTCTCAACGAATTTTCTTTCATGGCACCGGCACCTCCTTCCGATCCCCAACACAAATGAATAAACAGCCCCTGAAACTCTCAGTCAAAGGCAACCAAGTCAAACACTGGCGTCTTCCTTTGAGGTTCTCTCACACTCCTCTACCAGCTCTACCAGGACTCTACCACTTTGAGCCGTGCCACTTGCCACCTTACTACATTACTAGTAGGGTCTAAATCACATGAGCGTTACTAGTAGGGTTACTAGTAGGGTTACTAGTATGTCATTATGCAGTGCCCTGGAGAGTACACCTCTTGCCACCAGCTCGGTTCGAATTACGTTGTAACAGTTCTGAACCGATCCTCCGCTAGCCGGCCGTGTCGCCCGTTGCTCCGTCTCCTCGTAGGGCATCGGGCGCCGCACGTCGCCGAAGGTGCGCTGCTCCCGGGGATCCGTCGGTGCCAGGCGCAGACCCAGAAAGGAGAAGCGTGCCTTTAGCGTGCAGGAAGAGCCTAGGGCCTAGGATATGGAAGACTGCTACATAGCCAGCTGCTTCGCATTTGAGTTTCCTTGGCTAGAGCCATGACCATCGTAACCACCATATTAAACCATCGAGTTAAACCATCGAGGTCAACGCATGTTGGTCAAAGGAGTGAACATATCCCCCACGATATCCCAGGCCTTCGGCAGGCGCACAGGCACCTGGGTCCGCACCGTCACGTCGTCGTCGATTTCGGCAGAACCAGGTGAGGCTCAGGTTGTTTTCTGCTCAAGGTCAGCGAGGTGAACCAGGTTTACCCAGTAGCTGACCAAAAAGATGACCACAACTCCAAAAAACAATGCAAAAGCAACCACTCTCTTCAAACCAACCTGGCAAACCAACCTGGCAAAAGCCATTGTTTCTTTATTTATGTTTCTTTTAGTTACCACACTCACCAACCCCCAAAACCTCGAAACATAGCAGTCACATGCAAACTCCACGCCGTGGTCGCTGACTCGTCGCTGGATTGGGACGCCCGGGCCTGGTGGTGTCCGCAAAGCTCTTTGAGCTCTGCCAACGTCGGCAGCGCTTTCAGCAAATGTGCCGGCAGCGCCCCTGCGTGAAAGAAGACCCGCAGGGTGAAATCCACCGTGGCGAAAGACTTTTTTTGATCTTCACTTATCATGTTCTACTTTGACACCAATCTAGTATACACCAAAACAGGAACTTCTTTTGGAATCTGGTGCTCATCTAGATATCCCTTTGTGGGGGTGCGGCTCCGGGTCCACTGGTCCCTGGCCTGTGTCATCTGGACTGATCACGGCAGGCCAGCTGTCCTGCGACACCCCTCGTGCGAGCACGGCGTGGAGTGAACAGGGAGAAGCAGCAGCAAACACAAGAGAGACCACCAAGGTAACCAACGCCAAAAGCCGATCATCCGCGTTCCTCCACATTGGCGAGCATTGAATCTCCATCCAATAGCATCGAATCCCAAGTGCTCTCCACTCCCACGTCACAAAGCCGACACAAGAACTCGGCCAAATTGATGCCCCAGTGATTCGCTGTTGAAGTATGCTTGTCCGCCTCCCTTCTCCTGACCCCCCTTGTTCAAATCAGACTTTGACCAGCAACCTGTTTCCAAGCTCCTCATACAATCAATCTCTTTATCATCTCATCTACAGCCAGGGAAACATACCACACTCAGTTACATAGGTCTCTTTGGATAACATGTTTATATCTGCTTGGTCTGCGGTTGCCACCTCTCTATGTTGAAAGTAAGACAGGTTTCCCATGTCCACAGCAACAATCCACAAGAGACATTTGTCTGTGTAGTGCGTGTATCTTGAATAATTAGGGAAACTCCCCAGTTAGATTCTTGATTAAAAACATCCAAAATAGATCAATCGATTTGGGCCAGAGAGGTATCTCTCATTCGTCTCCCGCACTCACTCACACGCACACACACTCCGACTCGTACCTATCGTTTCGTGTTGCCTGCTCGTCTTCTCTCCTGCACCGCCTGGCACAAGGCTTCCTCCTCCGAGCTCCGCAAACACCGCGCCGCCAACGCAGCACCACGCGGCACCGTCACGCGGTCGGCGCCGCAGCGGGCGTAGACGAAGCGCAGCAGGGCCTTGGGGGTTTCTCATCCCAAGAAGTTGCTCATCTCTTGCCCTAGGGATCCAAGTACCTTCTCAGAAGGCACATGGACCCTCCAAACCCACCCCAAACAGCTTCTGAGAAGGCACTTGGATCCCTAGGGTTGGATTTCTTGTGTGGAGATGTATATTGAGATTGCTTCTGAGGTGTCTGGTTTTTTGGTTCGCCATTTTTCCATATGAAACATGTGCAACAGCCTTCCCAACCCCTTGAAGAGAAATCCAAAAACAACATCGCCCCTCGAACCACGGCAGGTGACATCAGTTCTCTCCAAGTTGGGATCCTTCTTTTCATTCTTTTCCTGATGAATCACCTCCAGTGCAGCTATGCAGCACTGCCCCGTGGCTTGCTTCGCAGCATGCTCGCACATGAAGCCGCGGCACAGCACTGAGTCCAGAAATATGCTCGGTTTCCCTTGTTTGGGGGCACTTCCGGAGTACAGGTTGGTGGGTTACACCGTGCCAGGGTTGAGGTGACGGGAGGAGCTTTGAGGACCTTCCTGGCCTTCCCCGTCGATTTTGGGTCTGGAGAAGTCGGCCAACGGAGACGTCGTCGGTCTTTTTGTCGTCTGAAGGTGAAGCTGAGAGTTTGGCAGACATAGACGGACCAAGTTGAGATGTCTCAAGCTGAGAGTTTTGCTCGTTTACTTAAAGAGAAAGAGATTGAGACATCTACGGCCCTACAGAGCACGTTTGCGCCATTACAACGTGGCGGTTTTCAGCCTTGTGATGATGTCATAGCAGTATGACCTCGATGGTCTGAAGCAGCTGCATCGACATGCAGGTCGAACAAAAAGGAAAACACATGAAAACACAAAGACAAAACATCGTGGGATAAATGATTCGTATTGGATCCTCTTGGGAATTTCAAGTCAGGGTCATGCCCCTGATTTTTAGAGAGCAAACAGCCCGGGGGAAGGTTATCCTGATATATCCTGATGGTATGGGTGTGCTGAAGCTCTGCGATCACTTCCTGCATGGAGTCCATGCCGACACCTGGTCCACTCCTCAAGCAGCATCCGAAAGCGCACGCAAGGTCCGGTCCAAAGGGCACGGCCACTTGACGGGTCCTAGAAGGGAAGGTCAATGAACAGCAATATATCGCTCTCAAAAGCCTTCTAGACCTGCGACCTCATGACACTCAGGCTTCCTTCATCCTAATGCATCCTATCATATCATATCACTTCATCACTTCATCCTACCACTTTCTTGGGAACCTGTGTTACTGTTCCCTTCAGTTTCTTTTCCCTTGGCCCTTGTCCCGGATTCCCATTTTTCTCCGATCGAATCCTCGGCGTCTCAAAGGTCCGGGTGCAAGCTGCGAAGCATTGCACGCTGAGCACATCGTAGGCAGCAACCAGCAGTTGAGCTCTTTTCTTGAGATATCATTATGTGTTTTAAGCATGTGTTTGTTTTTTTTAACATTCACTAAGATCACTAACTATAGTAGAAAGAATCTATGATCACTATTTTGCTCTCAAATTGGTTTCGATGCTTACAACTGCGCTGGTGCCCCCTTTGTCACCTTTCGCGATCTTTCCAAGCCTCTCCTGCTCTCAAACTGCCTGGGGGTTCTGGCACCGTGTCACACGGCCGAGCGTCCAACCCTTGCTTTACCTGAGCGTTGGCGTCTGCACGGTATCGTGTGGATGTCATGGTGGATTAGCATGCACCGATACACTCGCTCCCGCCTTTCCATTCCGCCCCATGAGTGGAAACCCCTTAAGAAGCTCTGCCCAAGAGAGGGGTGGGCTCTTCGTAATAGGCTTATTTTCCATGTAGAGCTTCTTCTCACAATCACAAGTTGACCTTCTGTTGCTCCCACAGAATGTGATACTGCACCAAAACGAAACAACCCACTGTGGGAAAAAGAAAAGACCTCATCCGCCTCCAAGCTGTACTCCTGTTCCACTTCCAGAACCCTTTGGACCCGATTGACATCGCCGTTCGCTGGGCAAATCCCCTTCTTACGGCCCAAAGCGGCCTGAGGTTGAGGTTCACATTCACCGCCGGCTGCACCGCCAACAAGGGCGGCACCTGGTGTCAGTGCCCATCGTGGGGTTTGATGCAATCGGATTGTAGAGGGGGGGGAGAGATCGGGAGCATCCATAGGTTTGAAGCGTGGCAAAACGGCGGAAGGAGCTGAACAACTGCGAATAGCTCCAAATTTTGGCTCAGATTGGCGGGAGAGTATATGCAGGTATACAACTTCTGTTCACCAATCTTTCCTGGGAAAAACTTTGCAAATTTGAACTTCACACCCAAAGCCCGCTGTGGCACCGGATGCTCTCGGTAGACATCCGCAATGGAGCCATCGTTCATGATACCTCAGTGTCGCAGCAAAGAGTTTCCTCACTGTCCAACAATCATTGCTGCTCCGTGCTGTCCAACTGCTGTGTGAAGTTCATAGGATTAAAATGGATTCCCTTTATTGATTCGATGGAAACAAAGCTCTCAAAACAAAGGCCTTGCCCACCATCCCCTTGATAAGAGCCCTTGTTTTGGTTTTCTTTGTGTAAGATCTGTGCGTTCTCTCTTCCACGGATCCACATCAAAAAACATCAATCACCCGGGGGTGCTGGGTGGACCTCCGAAGGAGGCCCAACGACCATCCAAGGCACCCAAGTTCATGTCCGCAGGGTGGCTCGGAGGACCCAGGGGTCCTCACGGAGGGGAAGGAACATCACAGTCCCATCGGAGACGCAAAAGCATGGCGTCTATTTTTGTACAGTGCTTGCTTGTTGTTTGTTGTAATATGGTCATTGTTCTCCTTGAGACCCATCTAAACAGCACTTTAAACATATTATGCCTCTCTCTCGTTGGTGGGTGCTAATCCTCCATTCCATGTCTCACGACCTGTCTGTCGGCTCGTCGCGCTCCTTGCGAGAAGACCTGCAGATTTCCGATGCCTTCCGGCCGGATGAGCACCCGAAGCGCTGGGTCCAAAGACACGGACATGCCATAGGCGCGTCTGCTCATCAAATCCTAGCGGCCCGGTTGGGCTGCTTCGGTGCAAGTTGAAGGATTTGGAGAGGAACAAGCCCAGTCAGTGGATCATCACAGGTAATTATAGAGGTATCGGTATTATGAAGTATGTAATATTATGTATAGCAAAAGCATGCAAAAGCATGCAAGATATGCAAGTGCTCATTTTGAAGTGAATGCATACATTGCGGAGTATGTATAGAAATGGCAAAGAACTTTTGATACAAGACTCCTGCAGCCGTCGATCTTGCCATTGCTTCTGCAGAGCTTGGCCTTCTGTACCATCCTGCAAGTCAGCAGATTGTCCACCCATGAAACCTCATCGAAGAGAATCAAGCACTTGCTTTCTCCAACAAGTCCCCACTCCACTCCACTCCACTTCCTTCTTTTTCTTCCTTCATCATCTCGAACCCATAGCCTATCATGTCTACCAAACCTATCAGCCTGTCCCCCACCCAAATCCTCCCCCCCAATCCACCATGCAGCTGCCCGCTCCACCAGCCGGTGTACCGTACAGACCGACGGACCACGACGTGGTCCCGTCCACCGGTCCTCGATGGTGAACTGCAGCTCCCCGAGGCGCCGCTCCGTCTCGGAGGTCTTCACGTCGATGCCCTCGGCCCAGCTGGGCAAAAGCTTCTGCACCGACGTCTTGTAGGCCTGGCCGTCGCCGTCGCATCGTCGCCATATGTAGGGTGGAGGCCATGGCAATTAGAAACAAAGAAAAAAGAACAGGAAGAAAAGGAATCAAAAGAAAAGAACAGGCCGATAGTTAGTACCGATAGAGGGCAATAGTGATAGCAAATGGTGATGATAGCAAATGGCAAATAGCTGGCCACATGGGCAGGTGCATGCCGTTGGGCCAGCCATTTGCTTGCCTCTTGGGCCAGCCGTTTGGGTTTTCTTGCGACGTTGCAGGAACATTCAGTTCGACCACTCAGTGACTTCGGTCTCCGCTTCGGCACCGCGGACGGAGAGACCCGGCCTCCACCTCTAAGCGCAGCAAATCGAGCTTCTCCTGGATTCGGAGCGGCCCACCTGGCCGCGTCGGCTTAATGTCTGGATGACGTGGGCTTCATCGGCCTATACATGTTGGAAGCCATATCTCGGCAAATGAACGGGATCGGTCAACGATCAGTTTGCCATGCCATGAGCAGTCTGGATTTTCGCTATGCCAAACCCAATCAATCTCTGGCTATCAAAATCGTGATTGGACGGATGGACTCCTCGGCACATGTCACACGGAGTGCCCCCGGAGATCCCGAACGAACGTCGTCGCCTCGCTGCGTCATCTTCTTCACCAGCTTTCGATTCAGATTGTCCTCAGGCAACAAACAAACACGTGACACACACAAACACAGGCCAAACACACCTTGAACACGAGGAAAGTGGGCACTTGGCGGCGTCGGCGAAACTATAGATACCTTTCCGGGTGATTTGGAGAAACAATTAAGTGTCGACATGACTTTGTATCATTCTGTTGAGCAATTAGAAACCTTCCCATTTGACACTCCCTACCCAAATCTGCGGCTTGATCCAAGCGTTTCCCTCCCAACAGAACCTCAGTTCCCCGGTGTCTACAGGGATCATATTACACCAAGCTGTTACACCCATAGAAAATCCACTCAGGAACTGCCTCCATCGATCCTTTGCATCTCAGCATCTAAGGCTTGGCGCTCTGCAATGACCCTCTGCAACTGAAAGATGTTGAGCACGTCCTAAGCGTAGCGTGATGCTGGGTGAGTCGATGCGGAAGCTCATTCAGTGTATGTGAGGCAAACACATCACCACTGACGACCCTTGGGCATGATTCGTCCGTGAATTGACCGTCCTTTTCAGGAACGCTTATTCACCAGTTGCCACTACCACCGTGGTCCCATAGTCCCAACCGCCCACCGCCGGGCATCGCCTTCCGGATGGCCTCCTGCAGCGCCTTCCGCTGCGCGTCGCAGCTTCCACCTGCGGCGTCGTCGAAGGCCGCCAGCGCCTTCTCCTCCGCCTGCATCGCTGCGTTGCCCAGGACGATGGGCCGCTGCGAGGTGCCTCGAACGGTGAGAACGGGATAAACACGCTTTCTCTCTGAAGGTCGAGTGGGACATGGGAAACGACCATGTCCATGGCTTGACTGGAAGTAGAGCCTGTTTGGGTTGATTCTCCATCTTAAATCGAACCATGTCAAATGAAGCTGCTCTTTCTTGGAAGTGTTCTTGTGAATCAACAGCAATTAGTCAAGTGTAGCAAACAAGTCAACTCTATATTTCGCCATTCCACGTGTTATTGATGGAATGAATTTCCAAAAAGTTATAACACATTCAAGACCAGTACAAGCGGTTCTCCTGCGCATTTGCATCCCAGTGACACGTCCTTTTCGACCTCACCACTGCAGCCCAGTGGCTTTCGGAAAGCCAATGTTGTCGTGCCTCTTCGAAGCGTTGTTGTCCGGCCGCCAGGGCCTCGTCACTTTCTGGCTGAGGGCGCTGGTGAGCTGAAAATGCTTCACTATGACATGGATCTAATGAACCAGGAACCTGATTCAGAATGTGAACTTAACATGAACGAAACAGGGTCATGCAGGAAGGTCTTCTAATTAGTCGACTCCTGGCCGTACTTGCCCTCGGTCGCCGTCACCGTCCGAAACGCACCTGGCCGCAGGCGTCGCTGCCGCCGCTGGCGACCTTTTGGCTTGCGGACTCTTCGGCGCGTGGGTCGCGGGTCACCACCTGAGGCGGCGCGTGGGCGGTTTCGGTGAGTCGGGAAAGTCTGGTCAACCACTTGGAACTCATCCATGAACCATGCCAGGTTCATGTTTATGCCATGACTTCCGTTTCACAGAATACGTTCTTTCACAACATGTTCACACCCACTGAGCAGAACTAACACCTGAGATGCCAAAAGCCCATGGCTCAAAAGTTGTGACCTGTTCTAAAGTTGTGTTCATACCCATTTTTTGCTTGGCCACCGCCGCCGGCGCAAGGGCCCACCAGGCCGCCGCCAGCGCGCCGAGCACAGCAGCGCCATGACGGCAGGGCCGCCGCGTCGACCGGTCCATGGGCAAAACTGGCCCCGGTCGGTGTCGGCCGTTGGGCTGTGCACGTCGTGGGCTGCGGAGATCACGATGCAAAATACGAAACACCGATGAGCCATAATATATAGTGGAAACCGCACATGGAAAGGCTTTTTCAGCTGAGGCGCTCAAGAACAGCCAAGTGCTAGCCGTTTGGTAGATTTTCTGACGTCCAGTTACATGACACCCGTTGCCCGTTGCTACCGAGAATAGACGTCGGCACTACCCATTTATACCAGCTGATAGTTGGGCAGTCGCGTGTGACTTGTATCCAGAATATGCTTTAAACAACAGAATTTGGCATGGTTTCTACCAGGCTTCACCTGTGTTCAACAAGGTCCAACCCAGTTGCTTCATTAGCAGAGGAGCAAGTCGAACAAGCCAACTTCTTCAGGTCCAACACACCGTGCGGAGGGACAAGATAAAACACGTAACAACATCGTAAAATACACTGGACATCACTGGAATACATACACTCCAACACCTGAATCCTGACGACAAGCACCCCCACAACTGGTATCTGGTCTCCGAAGACAAATACGGTGCCGCGGGCTGATTCCAGAACCCTCAGCGAACACGGTGAAAACCGCGCCACAGGACCTTCATCGGACGACGCTGCTTTTTGCTGCACCGATCGGACGCGCTGATTCGATGCAGGGAGGCTGCCGATGAGGCTGCAGATGGAAGACTCTCCGCTCTTCCAAAGAGAAGTCATTCCAAACTGGATTGGCAAATGCGAAAAAATGGTGCCATGCCATTCACATCCAATTTCAGTGGAATTCTTCATTGTGCATGCACCATGCGCTTGCAAGAAAAAGACTCAGGGACGTCATCCATCGTCCTTCATGTGGAGAAGAGACGTTCGGCGTAGGATCTGAGCGGAAGATGTTCGCCTGACCGGTCAGCGAAGTGGAGACTCTTAATAAAATCCCTCAAAAAACACATTCGAGAACCTCAATCCTATCCACACATATCCACACCTTTGATGTTCCAACATCTCTTGAAACGCATGAAAACGCTAATTACCCAGAACCACCTCCACCGAACCATCCGATCACCAAACATCAGCGGCCTCGGTCCTTCAGCGGCGTCGTGGCCCAGCGTGGCGGTGCGGCGAGGCTCGAGGCGGGGCTCAGGGTTTCCAGGGAAAGGCTTGGTTGTCGCGCCACCAGGGCGCTGAAGGTGCCGACCGCGGTGTCGTCGTCTCGTGGTCATGAAAGCGTTGCGTGGCCTCCAGCACCTCCTGGCGTCGCACGGAGGCGCTGATGCGGTGATGCGTGTTCTTGGAAAGCGATGTGTCGGTTGGAAGACGTGAGCCTCTTACAAGGGGGTTCCAAATCTCACAAACACGTCTTCCAGATGCCAAAATGCCAAACATGTTGCAGGCTTGGTGGCTCTTGCGGTTTCAGCAACTAAGCTTTCATCCGCGATCGAGTCGAAGCGTCCAACGATGTCCAACGTGTCACCCGTCACGTGTCACCGGTCGCGTCGTGACACGTGTCACGCGTCGTGCGGTAAGCGATGTGTCGCCCCTGGCAGACCAAGGCGCTTCTTTGAAACCAGGTGCTGGATGTGATCGGAAGCGAACACCTTTTCCTGTGGTTGGGGACGGGCAGTAGGACGATCCTTTTTGGGCACTTCTTCTACTTCATATGCTGTGGGTTTGGAGCTATCCCTTGCTATGGTTTCAATCAAACATACAAACGGGGTATGGAAATTACACGATATTCAAACCTAAACAGTAAACCTAAATTAACCTTCGGGATGACACACTTTTCCAACCTTCGGGATAGTCACATTCGACAATTGCCACTCAAAGGCTTTGCCGGTGTTCAATTCAGTGAAATCTGAATATTTCTGCCGCATATCTGCTGATCCTTCTGGGAGCAAACCCGAACAAGGCAGGTTGTTGAAGCCATCCTCCAAAGCATACTCAAACACCCAGCAGTTCAAACAACCTCTCAGCTCTTTTCTTTGTTCCAAGAAACGAAGAAGCTTCACGGCATTCCAATAAATCCGCAAAGCAGTGCGTTGAGGTTGAAAACCGTAGCGCCACAGCATCTGCAAGGAGCCTCCAAAGGCATGGCTTGCTTGAACTGAGGGTCTCACACACGCCATCCGATTAGATCAGACCAACCAGCCACTTGTGTTTAGAGAAAATCCTCCACAAACCGCGTCTATTACAAGGTCTTCTCTTGTGATCTCTTGTGATCCAAGACCGTCTCCACCAATCCAAGACAGTTGGTTTCAGCATGCTTTGGCCGGTTTGTTGCTCCACTGTGCCTGCATGCTCCGCTCGAGCTCGTAAGAAGCTGCTAGGCTGGAGCTGCAAATGTGCCCGAAAAAGCCTTGGAGGAATGACACAAAGCGGAAGAGTAGCGATGGCCTCCAACCTACAAGCAATCGAATAGCCATGGCCTCCGACCTACAAGCAATGGCCTCTTAAAAAGGGATTTGAATTTGTTTGTTCATGCAATTCCTTTTTGTTTGTCCACACTCTGTTGCAACTATTCCGTTCTCTTCTTTAACTTCCAGAGCAACGTGCGTTTTGCCTGAACAAAAAGTTGGGAATGTGCCGAAAGCTTGCTTCCAGCATGGCTGGCTTACCAGGCTGGATCTTGAGTCAACCCAAACACCACACTCTCAAGAATTTGTGTTCAAGAACAACGACGTAGGCTTAAGACCTGCCGAGAAACGGCTTGCTGGAGCTGCGGTCTAAGCCAGGCAAAACATCCACAAAGACTTCCTTATAGACAGTCAGAAAGTTCCAAACATGCCAAGCAAATGTCAAGCAGCCCAAAGCATTTGCTTGGGACATGCCTAGCTAGCAATTACCTGCACCAATGCTTTCCTTTCATTCGGCTGGACTACACTCGATCGGCACTACTCGTGGACGGAGCCGTCCGTGGGGACGGAGGGGATCGGGAGAAAGCACATCGTTCAGTCCCACATCGGAGATCCGTTCATGTTCCTGGACCTTTCTTTTTGTTCAAAAGTCCCACATCGGAACGCAACACATCGGAGATCAACACCACTTTTGCTGTTTTTAGTGCGAAGTACTGAAAGGACACCAACAAAAAGGAACCAACACATGGGATCATTCATCGGATCATCATTGCAACTTCTCCATGCACCAGACTTGAGGAACTCCAATCTGAAGCCACAGGAAACTAATCCGTTTGGTCCTGAGATTCCAAGGGATTGCTCGAAGGAGCTGAGGCTTTCAGGTGCCAGCGATGCTTGATGTCCATCAGCGGGGAGACGTGCAGAGGCTTGGGCCGCCTTTGGACACGGCCGAAGCGGCGGAAACCGACGCTCCGGTGAGACATGTGGCGAAGAGGTGCCAGGGCTTTTTCGTTTGGTGGGAAAGGCATGTGTGTTTCAACACGTAGAGCATAGACCAAACTGTCCGAGGGCGATTTTGGAGTCGATCCAGTATATAGGGATGGTCCAGCTAAAGTAATGACCACGAACTCAGACGCAAAACTGGTTGTGATTCTGTACTTACATGCGATTCCTTTACAGGCAGCCAACTGCACCAATGTGCAGCCCAAACTGCACACGCAGAACCCGTGCGCATACCCAGCTGACCGGGGAAACCAAATCTTCCAAACGCCAAATCCCAGCTGCTCATCGCCCTTGAGGTCAAAGACAAAGAACACATGATGGTTCCACGGCCTCGGAACGCGGGATGCAGAAGCACACGACGTCGAACAGCAGATTCACCCAGATTTCATCAAGCGACGTGTAAATTAAGTTAGGCACGGATGGCTTTTTGTTCCAGCAGGAAACACCATCACAGGACTTAAGGTACAGCAACTGGATCACGAGGGGGCATGAAAGTGGTGCAATAAACATGATGAAAGGACGGTACTGTCATTTCATGAAGTTTTCTAACAGCCGAGGTGCGTATTGGTCACTTCACACACTCCACGCTTGTATTCACCCTGATCTTCGCAGAAGTAGATTTGAATCGGATTTTGATGATACCTGGCGAGGGTCGGGTCCCCTTTGGTCCCGTTTGGTCCGAGTGTCCAACCTGTTTGGAACCCACGGAGTCCAAGAAAAGTGAGTCGAGCACATCAAACACCGTGGTAAACTCCATACGACATGCAGATGAGGCAAACAACACTTGTTGATTTTTCGCTGGAGTCCGCGATCAATGAGGAAACATCAGCTCCATTCCTTAACCTAGATTTCCCAAAACTGAAGAAACGCCAGGAACAAGCTAGACTTACAATTAGTTGCCTTCATTTTCCTAAACTCCAAACTCCAGGCCATCGCTACTATAAGTGGTGGAGGCCATCGCTACTAGCAACTATAAGAAGCTACTATTTAGTAACAAGGGCATGACCTATGCTATAGTAGCTTAGTTACTATATCTACATAGCTATGCTAGTAAACTACTCCAACCAAGTACCTATATAGAAGTTACTATAGATTGGAGTCCATCTCTCCTTCCGCCGTGTGGCTCCGCTGCCGCCGGCGTGGTGAGGAGCTTCACCGAGCCTGTGGTCCCTGCGGCGGTCCGAGCCTCCTGGTGGGTGAGGTGGGCCCCCGCGCAATGCAGCGGAAGAAATCGAACACATATATTACTAGACTGAATTACTAGTAGTGCTATACTACATACAGTACTTACTAGACTACTTAACTATAACGGTATATAACTACAATAGTGATCCCCAAATAGATAGTGGCACGGTTTCTTAATATATGTTTAGTGTGGATCTACTTTTGATCTATTTGGGGGTCTCTATATATAGATCTACTGAATGAATAATACCGAATCGATTAAAAAACGCACAAATGACATGTACATCAGCATCACACAAACAAGATTTCAGTTCGTTTGAAATGGTGCCACGTTCTATATATAATGACAACAGCCAGTTTCTGTCTGTTGCCCTTTTTCGCACCTCCAAGTGTTTCCATCATGTGAGACAAGCATCTGAATGAGTCCTGCAGTACTGATTGATGGAACAACTTCGAACAAACCATCACCTCCACGCCAACGCTCCTCTGCCGTGAGACGCTGAATGGGTTCCAAGGCCCACCAGTGGGGCGGATGGTCCAAATCGACCAGGGCCATTCCTGGGCGTGGCGACGACGCCGGACGCGTTCCGCACCATCCGAAGCGCAGCGAGCGACGGAACCAAACGGGGAGGACCGGGAACCGGTCCCAATCCTCGGCGAACGGCCAATTCGGTTTGGGTTGACGTAGATGTTTTATTTTGAGGGGATCTGAAGCATAGCTTGGGCTTGAGAACACAAACACAATATAACTATGAATCAATCATTGTCGAAGGTTGAAACACACTGACTGATGGAGTGCTTCCCCTGCGAACCTTTTTGGCTAAACTCGATCTATAGCCATTGAGAACATATTTTCTTTCTGTCTTGCATCTGGGCTGCGTACGTCGTAACGGAAGGCATGGGATGCTTCATGCGTCCGCGCATGGGACACCCATCCTTCCAGAAATTCCACGCCACTGCATTGCTCCGTAGCGCCAAAGGCTGACCGGAGCAGGGCCAGCAAGAAGGACAGGCAGGTCCAGGTGCTATGGACAAAAATGGCTGTCAGAAGCTTTGCGCCTTGGCATGCTGACAAGGCTTTCTTCCGCAACTTGGTCAACATCTTGAGCCAGAATCACTACTCGTTCACCACGCAGTGAACACTCCTACAATCATCATGAATTCAATCTTCAAATATCCTCCACGGGGCACGGGCATCAACAAAAAGTAGATCCACCATGGGACATGTCCCTCTCGCAGTCTGGACCACGCTCTTTCCACACCTCTCGCTCGATGCGAAACGCCTCCTCTCAGGGCGGGCCCGGCCCTGGCGACACTCGGCCGACTTCCGGCCACGACTTCGGAGCGAAACGTTCCACACCACGTGTCAGCGCCATGGGAATCGAACGAACAACTAACATCTCAAACAACTAACATCTCATTCAATTGTCTCATGCATGGAACTCTGGAAAAATCTGGAACATGACCCGAAAAAATGGGAAACGGTTCCTTCTCCTTTGACCCAACCCCCCTTCAGCACCCCGGAGCCTCGGAAACGGGACGGCGCCTGGCCCAACACAGAATGCCGTTTGCTTCAAGGAATGGCAGCACAGTTTGTGTCAAAAGGGTCTATGTTTTGATTCTCAATCAACTATACTCACTTATAGTGAGAACATGTGAGAACTGTTGATGTTGATGTTTACACTTGATCCTTGGTCGGACCTATATTGCTTGCAACAAACCTGACTTTCAATCAGGAGGGTCCACAGGACCTTTGGTGCTGCCGTGCCGGAAGCTTCTTTTGCACGATTGCAAGGGTTGAATTCTGCATCTCCATCAGCAGCAGGCTGGGTGAGACGTTCTCAATTGATCGGCATCTTGGAATAGACCTGAACCCTCAAGAGCCGCACATATGGAGAAAACGTTGCCAGCACAAGGGCTATCGATGTCCATTTCCTTGGATGAAGAGGTTTTTTTTGCCTCTGCAGGGTGTTCATTAGCATTGCCAGACTTGCGCAAAAGATTGGATCGGTCGATCAAAACCCCTCCGACCACGAGCCATTCACCAAACCTGAGAAAATTCACCATCCGAGAAAGCATGACGAGTCGCTGTGGACTGTCCCTGTCCATGATTGTCACGGCAAACTGGTGCAACACGGTGGTTCAACAGGGGGGGGGGTTTGCCCCGACGGCAAGCAAAGCTTTCCGACCAGTGAACAGGGTTTACCCAACATGGTGCCACCAAGTGTCAGCCAGGGCCGCCGGGTTCCCCCGAACGGGCCGACCGCCGTGGACGGTGACGGCGCCTTAGAGGAACCGCGCTTGTTTGGCCGAAACCTCTGCAGAGTCGGCCACGCTGAGCTTCTTCTCCAAGTCCTGCGGGTGTTTTTGGGTGAGAAGTCATGCAGTTCATACCAACAAGACACTCAGAACGTCTACTATTGGGTAGTCGCGGCCATGAGATCAGGAATGGAAATAATTAGACGCCACAATCAATCCAATGATAGAGAATTATATGGCACATTGATGGCATTGATGCCCTGTTTGATTGTAGAGGACTATGACAAGGTGAACAGAACAACATATGATAGGCATGTATAGGAATTTTGGATACCAGTGTTGTATTCGTTGAATGAGACGTAGTTTGTATATCCCATGGGATTGTTATTCACATTGCTGTGCAAACAGCCATATAACATCATAACTGTGAGATGACCCCATGTCCAACCGGTATGAGACATCATGACCCCAGTCCTACCCTGAAAAAACATCATTTATCATATATTACTTGAGGCCGAGGGTAGGTGACGAAAGCTAGCAGGGGTGCATCCGGACTGGTGGGACATCAAGCGGTGTGAGGCAAATGCTCATGAGGTAAAACGTTGTGAACATGTAAGACACACAAACAGCAATGACACAGCCAACCTTCGAATTGAAGTCCCCGACAATTAAGGAAGCGTGGCTGGACTTTGCCACACTGTTCGATGCATCCGATGTGTTCACGAACCTGTGAGCTTGTTGAATCTGTTGCACCGTATCCCAAAACCTCCACGGAGGAGTTGAACCAGTGATGCCATAAGAGGTGCCCAAGAGGTGTCCCAGAGGCAAAACAAAGCTGCTTGCATGATTCGTTTGGTTTCTTCTATCGATGTCGATGTCATGAACATGTGAGCTTGTTGAATCTGTTGCACCGTATCCCGGAGGAGTTAAGCCAAAGTGGATGCCATAAGAGATGCCCGAGAGGTGTCCCAGAGGCGTCCGAGGGGGGAGTTGAACCCACGGGGGGGGGGGGGGGGGGGGGGGGGGGGGCCCCCCCTACATATGAAGTTTTCACGTGATGCGGCGATCCCGAGGATTCCAGCCCCTCACTTGCTAAAGCAAGGACAACTCCAGCTAGCTGGTGCTAGCTTTCGTGATCAGTGTCAGTTAAAAGTGGATCCGAACAAACCACAAGTCGTGGGTGACGTGTTCTGGGCAACGAAAGGAACGAAGCGGCGACGACCGGCACGGCGGCGATGCCCGCGGCCACCTGTTGGAGCCTCAAGGCCAGCGCTTCTTGGGAATCGGGTCGCAGCAGGGAGAGCAGCAGCTGCAGCACGGGCAGCGCCAACGCCAGGCGCGAAAGCCACCGCCAAACTCGAAAGGAAAAGCCCACGGCCGCCAGAGCTAAGCCTGACCCATCAGGTGGCCGGGACTTTAGCATCTCAGGTGGATCTTGGTGCCTGTTTCGACCCCCCTTCCTCCCTTCCTTGTCTCCAGACTCAAATGGAACACTGCATGACCATGACTACATGGTGTGGAAATCCAAAACGCATATGCCAGAAGTTAACCCAAACTCGGCCAACATCATCCGGAACACACGCAATCAAACCTTTGCAACCTGGGAATGATCATGAATGATCTTTCCCCACTCAGGGTTGAAGAAACTTGGAAACTAGACGACGAGTGGCCCGAAAGCATTTTTCATCACGTAGGAAATCAGAGTGCGAGTTATCCGGTAAGTGTGTAGTGAGAAGTGTTAAGTCGAGTGAGTTGAGGTAGTGTGTGGGTTTCTGTGCGTGTGTCTATGTCCGTGTGGAAACGGGTCTGCGTATGTGTGTGTTTGTGGAAGTTGAGGGAGTGTGTGGGTGTTTGTGTGCGATGCGGCCTCC